TTGCTAAACTCAAATTACAAAATATTTGCTCAAACTCTAACAGAAAGGCTCAAATGTATTATAGGCTACTATATTCACAGTGACCAAACTGGGTTTGTCCCAGCCAGAGACATTACAGACAACGTAAGGAAAACGATGAATTTAATTCATTATGGCCGTCAGCAAAAGAACACCAACATGCTAGCCTTATCATTGGACATCGAAAAGGCCTTCAATACAGTAGAGTTTCTTTCTTTCTTTTTTTTCCCCGTTTATAAACTCTCCTAAAAAGGAGAGAACTTTATTGCTTTTTATATTAGAAAGGGGGAGGGTATATAGCGGGGTAAAGAAAAGGTCGAGTGATGTTTCCATTAGTTTGTTAGTCTGTTAAGGTTAGTAAAAAAAATTCTTCTTTGGCTTCATTGCGGTGTCAATCGTCTTTCATCTTCTCAGTTACAGGGAAAAAAAAGAATGTTAAAAATAAGGAATTAGTAGTGTCCCACTGTTAAACTGTTAATAAAAAGCTTTTCAGACGCTCTGCGAATTAATTCTTCCATCTTCGGGCTGATTTCTTCTCCCAGGCGACAGGGGAGGTCCTCCTCTGCGCTCCTCTCCGTTTCACAGCTTCTCTTCCGGGTCATTGCTTTCCAGTCACAGCATGCAATTGTCACTTTGCAGCTTCCGATCCGCCTTCCCGATAAAGTCCCAAGCTTTTAGAACGATTATTTCTCTTTTTTTTGTCATTTGACTTTAAAATAAACGCTGTCCTTCTCATAGCTAGGTCATCTATCCACATCTCCGCTTAAGGGCATTTTCCTTTTTCATCGCTGCTTACGCTTTTCAGGAACAAGCCCGCAAGAGACAGTCATTCAAACCGGAAGGTCCACCCCTCTTGTTGCGCAGTTCTTATTTCAGCTCCGACATCTTTTTCATTTTGTTTACATTGAATAAAGTTCGCAGGGTGCACTTAGAAGATAAATCATCATCATTTTATTTCAGCAAATCAATCGCCCGATGACACCACCTTCCTCGGCTTTCAGTCTCCCCCCCCCTTTCTCCTTTAAAATACAGTAGAGTTTCAATTCCTCAAGGCAGTCCTCCAACACATGCAATTTGGTAACACATTTATATAAGCAATTTCAGAAATATACTCGACACCGGGAGGCCACTGAGGAGCGCTGGGACACATTGCTGCCAGTTTGGGTTGTGTTTTTCTCGCCTTTTTTGGTTGTACTCATCCTCCTGTTCAAGCAAAAAAAACCCTTTGATTAATGGATCTTTCTTCTAAATTAATTTGGTTCATAGTTCTGTCCTATCCCTCTTTGTACCACCACCATTCATGGCCACCTCACTGATGCAGGCACTAGTGGAAAGCAGTGTAGGGATCATGTGTATAAATATCGGGGAACTGGGAAAGAGACTGGTCACTTCTTGTCATGGACCTGTCAAGCTTGGGCCTCACTTGCCAAATATTTCCTGTTTTTTTACACTCATATTCTGTTGCATTAGGGGTTACTGTCCCACATTTCATTATTCCATTGGTTGTGTTATGGATTCACATGTATTCTTTTAGAATTCCTATGTTGCATGCAACCTTGCTCTTCTTCACTGCTGGTTACCATCTCTGCTGGGAAGGGGGAGGGGGAGTCGATGTGTCTGCTGTCTGCTTTGCTTGGTTAGTATCACCTTGCAGGGGCCGCCTGAGTGTGTTGAGAACACCTTGGGAAGTATATGATCTCATCGTTCTGTGTGGCCTTGTAGTCTGGGGAGTTTCTAGATAATGTAACCATTAGCTTGCAGGTGTTAGGGGTGGTCGCAAGGGCAGGGGCAGACATGTGGCGAGCTGAATGGGAGCAATGATTGGTTGCTTGGCATCTGTGGAATTTCTTGCTTTCAGTATATTGACAGAACTGGTGTCTGGGCTCCAGTTCCGACACAGAAGCTGTCTATGCTTGGAACCTTTCTACCTTTTAATAAACAAATCTTGCTGCTACAAGAGTGTCTGTGAGAGTCATTGTATCCAGGACCTAACAGGACCATCCTGGGTTAGCATGGGAAGATGTCCTCAGAGGAAAATGACTTGCCCTCAAGCCCTGCCTTGGCAGACCGTCCCAGTGAGGAGGACTCTCCAATGCCTCCCTAAAGGGACCCTGCGCCAGCATCACCCTTGAGCCCGCAGGGCTCTCAGGCTTGGAGACCCCAGCATGGAGCCATGACCAGACCACCATAGTCTTTCAAAGCATCTCACGAGCATAGGAGGCAAGGGGCTATGGCTGAGACATGGACCAGGTGTAGGAATATGTGCTTGACAGCCTGAGTCCTCCCTTCTGTTAAGGAAATGCTAGGCAGGATTGATAAATAACCACAGGATCATAGCCCCAGTAGTTTTCATGAGCAAAGGACCTGACTGTTTGTGAGGAGGAGCCTAATGTGGAATCCTACAACACCTGTATGGAAACCCCCTATATAAAACTGCAGCGAGGCTGTGGCTAGAGTGGAATCAATTTGTCTGCAAACCTGTTGATGAACCTACTAGTTGCCTGATTTGTTTAGCTATTAGAACTCTGCTACCTGACCTTGGACTGTGATTCTGGATTGTGCTAGTGGACCCTGGACTTTGAGTTTGGCCTGGAAGTTTAGAAACCTTGCTGGAAGACCTGTTGTGGCTTGCGACTTGCCTCCAATCTGGTGAGCAGGCCACTGCTGGCTTCAGTGGAGGCTCTGGATGTCCTCCAGCCTCTCACTGGGAAGGCAGCTACCTAGGGCAGGGCCGGCTCCAGTTCTGCAGGCACCAGAAAACTATTGGGTGCAGTAAATAAGAAGCCTGGAGACCGACTGGCAGTGAAAGGCAGAAAGTTTATAGTGCGATAATGGTGAATATTTACACAGAGAATATACAGACTGTTACACAGCATAACATACCTCAGTTGGAGAGAGCTATGTCCCCCACCCAACTTATCAAGCTTACACCTTATATACAAGTCCCAGCCAATCACTAACAGGGCAGACTAATTACCTACTCTTAATGAGGACAAAGAGTAGCACCTGGTAGTTAAACACCTGGCTGTAAGATTATTAACCACTTAGCATGACAGCTAAGACTTACAGACTAGATCATACTGATCTATACACAGTAACAGCTTTCTACCTCACTTCATCCTAGACATATATGTCAATAAAAACTTCCAGACCATGGCTCCTTCCAACTTATTGCCAGACATGGGGCTTCTCAAGCCCCTACACGGCAGGCTTCCAGGGGTTCCTCAGGCACCATGCATGTGATGGACTGCCCAGCCTGAGACCTGACTCTTCTGCATCCATCACATGCCCACACTCAACCATCAGTATGAAATGTGTTATTTGCCCTTGGCTGCTGCAGATACTGACTGAATGCAAAACTAATAAAACTGCCCCTTGTTTATATCAACCAACGTTGTTGGCTCCCCTTATTTCACATCTGTCTGCAATAAGATATTGCAAATCTTAAAATAAATTACATGGTACAAATAAAGTATTTTACACATAATTGTGTAATCCATGCCCAATTTACAGTGATCGTTGTACAGCATTAACAGGGCCTTGAGTTTTGCTCGTCAGCTGAGCACCAGATGCAATACAGGCACCATGTTGGGAAGGTACAGGAAATGGAAGGTCTACTATAGATCTGTTAATCTGTAGTAATTCACACAGTAACCCTTCACACAGTTAAGAAACACCAGTTCTTTTGAAAAAATAAAAGACTAACATCTCGCAATCAACCAATAACAAAGTGCTTCATACCCGTTTTCAATGTGTGTGCTCATTGTTCAATACTTCTAAGTTCTACAGAATCCTTCAACATACATAAAATGACTTCTGTTTTCTTAAGTCACAAGAAGCACAGAGACAATTGTAAACAAATTTGCTTAAATAATGTCAGAATTTTATAACAAAAAACTGTTTCACCTTGGATTTGAAATAGAATGGAAAAGCAGGTTTCAGTTATGTGAACCAGAATTGCCTAATGTTTCACTTGGGAACAAAAATAAATGCCAGTTTGATTCCTTGCTGTTAATACTTGCATATGTAGGTCTAAACACTGGATTGAATCTGACCTGAACATGTGGATTTTATCAGTAAATTTTAAAAGAACCTGGTACAGAAAAGATAACTGTGGAAAACATAATACAAAGCCAGATTGTAAACTAAAGCTCACATATTTTTTATGAAAATGGCAGCAATAAGTACACTTCAATTCTACTACACACAAAAAACATGTCAAAATAAAACATGGAAATCTCATGTAAAATGAAAAGGAAAAATCCCAATGTGGCTGTTACAATCTGTGAAAAATAAAAGGTCAATACCATTGCTAAATTACAAAGTTCTACATAAAAACAAAACAGGAGTCCAAATTATCAGATCATATACAATTTACTTCTGAGTAACTTTAAAAGAAATAATTACATTTACTGTGTTAAGAAACTTTATAAAAGTGGCAAAACAGGACTCTTTGATATACAGGGAACATTTCAGAGTGAATAAGAAGTACCCATTGTAAGATTAAAAATGAATGGTTTTTTGATCATTAATACCAAGACAATTTAAATTGTTTTGAATTTGGAATTTTTCTTCTCTCCTTAAAGAATGCTTTCATTAAACATTTAGCCTTCCCGGTAGTACAGATAACCTTTACAATTATACACAGTCATATTACTGAGTCTGAAATAAGGCAAAATCAAGCAAAGGAAGTGAGACCATGTTCCATCAATATGAGGATGGTTTTTGTTACAAAGAATAATTGCTAATGCTTTCATAGCCCTGATATATCTATAGTAGGAATGTCCTATGTCAGCATCAGCAATTTTTACTGTCAACTAGTATTCTCAATAACATTGATTCCATTTCTTTTTCTAGACGAAACACACCACACATTATTCAGTGCTGATGTACTTTTTCAACTTCTATCACATCTCCAATTTCTGCTACAATAGTCAGAAATGTATGCAAAAGAAAAAGCTTTCCTCCCACACAAGACCTAAGAATACTAACGGCTGCTATATACTATACTAAGAATACTAATGGCTGCAAAAAATAAATAAATCAAGATTATGATTGTGATCTAGCAAACCTCAAGCACATAAAATTTGTGCTGTCAGGACAGAGTTCAAAGATCTTTCCATGTGCTGTTCACAATCCCTTGGGAAAGATGCAAGTCCCACTCATGTGGTTTGCTCTGTATCAGGGTCAGAGTCTTGACCATCCTATCATGTCTGTACCTATTTTATAGCAGAAAGAAAAACTCCAGGCCAAAACACAATCTGTTTTAAACAATTTCAGTAATATTTTTATAAGTACAGCAGCAATTCTGGATTATTGTCTCCACTGGGGTTTACACAGTTGTCAGCATGAATACACTTCCAACAGAAAATGAGAATTTGCATTCTAGTATTCCACATCCTTGCAAATCACCCATTACTGAATCCTTACCATTGCCTTATAAAACCTTTGTAGTTCATTCACCAATACCAAAACCTTTCCATAAGAAAAACAAATAAGTCATATTAGAGACCACAGACTGATAAACTGGGGGAAAACAAAGGCACTCCTTTATTCCTTGGTCTAATGCAATAGGAACTCTGTTTTTTCTATTATGCCTGAACTCCTGGGCAAGGAGCCATCTAAATTTGGTCCTTTTATTAAAGAAATGGCTGTCTGGATTAAACCCATATCAAACTTCACTTCATTAGCTAAAAGGAACAAAAAAAAAGTCTTTCTTATTATGACTACATGACATTGCTAAATTTTAACATTATTAACTAAGAGTTCCATTCTCCTGAGTTTGCGTTTATTTTTTGGCATAGGCTTGTCATATAAACCATTTTTCAGAAGATATTCTTTGCTGTGATGGATTTGGGCACCGTGCTGAAGCTGGAAAGAACACAGAGCTTGAAGTGGCCGGAGTAGAGTCTGTAGAGGAAAAAGAGAAAGAATACCGTTATATAGAGGTCTCAGATAATATTTCCTCTGGAGTTCATATCAGATTGTTGTTTCACAGGATCTACAACTAATCTGATATGATATGACTAGTTGTAGACAACTAATCTACAACTGAGCTGACATACCTGGATTCCAGAAGAGCTTTCTTAAACAGAAAGAAGCACTTTATGTAATTAACTTGTGGAACTTAATTGATGCAGTGGTGACAATTAGCTTAGATGGACTTTAAAAGGTATTAATGCATGATAGGTCTACAAGTGGTAATTAAACAGCACTTCCATGTTCAGAGGCAGTATACTTTTTAAAGCTAGTTAGCAGTGTTCCCTCTAAGCTGAGTTAGTGTGAGCTAGCTCACAGTTTTTTAGCCTCCAGCTCACACATTTTTGCCTTGGCTCAGGAAGGAGGGATTCAGAACAAACTAATTTATGCAGTAGCCAAATCGCTCGCTCACAACTGAATGCCAGTAGTTCACAAAGTAAAATTTTTGCTCACAAGACTCCACAGCTTAGAGGGAAAATTGCTAGTTAGTGGAAGGTTATGGACTTTCTGGGGCAGGAAATAGAGTACTGATCCAGCAGAGCTCTTGTTACACTTAAAGGTGCTGACCATATTACATCATATCTCTGAAAAAGGTACCAAGGATTCTGGAATACATTCTTGATATCAGTAGACCAGTAACCAGCACTGTTTAAAAACCTTACAGAACAAGGTTTCAGTCTGTTTTTCTCTGAGCTCCCTGAACTGGTATGAGTCAAGGACTACAACTGGCCAATCCCTAGGTCACCTGACTCCAACATGCAACAGAAATGCAGTGAGCTACTTTGCTGGGGATCTTATTATCACTAGTACAAGGATCATGATGAAGAAGAAGACCCCACCCTTTTATTAAGATGTGTTAGTTAACAGATCTTGCTTTGTTTGAGAGTAGAAGGGAGAGTTCAATTCCTTCCAGAAGAGTGTTGTTTTTAGGATAGTCCAATGGATGCAAAGCACTGTTGACTTCTGAACCTTCAATGAAGAACAGGGGATATCAGGGTACTTCACTCACACTGTGGACATGAACACAGTGTCTACCTTAGTTCTGGCAAAGGCATCACTCTTTGAGAAATCTTTGACTAAATGGATGAATTCCTGTGAATGAAAGGGCTTCTCTATTAGTGGATATAATACTAGAATGCCATGCACAAGACTGTTTTGAGATAGTTCCAAAGTTCAGAGGGCTTCCTCAGAGACGGGCATATTACTTTTACCATTCTCATCTCTGTGTTTGTGATTTGCAGGTCACCTGTAACCAGGGCTTTTTTGGTAGAAAAAGCCCAGCA